AAGGGGATGGTGTATTCTCTTAGCTACTTCCTGCTGAAAAGGGACGCTGTGGGTTTCAGGGTGAAGATCTTCTCTCACTACTCTAAAGGGCCCCTTTGTCAGTAGGAAACACATAGACTATTATGGAAATTGTTTTGGAATTTAGATTTTACCTTTTAATTAAATCATCCAGTAGAATGCAAAGTGGTCTAAGGAAAGAAAGTGCATGGCTATCTATTAAAAAGTTACATTGTGTGGATGGCACAGGATAGAGCAGAGTTGAGATCTTTTGTTAATGGTGTCTCTGAGTCTACAACAATCTAGTTACAAGTTGGACTTTCAATGGTAATTTAGGCATTTAACCTAACTGTAAGTGATTATGTGAAGAACACCTGTCCCCACTACTGTTAAATCAAGCAGGACTCAGAGCGAGCCTCCGTCAGGTGCATCTTCCTTTCCAGAAAAGGCTCTCTTGCTCCTACAAAGAAAGGGCTCATGGCTTCAACTTCCAGCTATGGGAGCCAATACTAAATATTTGTAATAATCTGAATGCTATTTCAAGATGTGGGGGAGGTGAGGTACAAGCCAGAGTTCACCCTGAGGCACTGAGGCAATCCTTAAGGATTTACCAAATTCTTGCATTTGTGAACCCCTCCCTCCTGAGTCAAGCAGAAGGTTTTCAATAGAAAGAGCTTGGCTTCATTTGCATTGAATTCTCTTTGTGATTTACTTCCTGATAATTTTCAATAAAGACACATGGAAACATGACTTGGGGTCTTCAGTCGAGAACTGCTGGCCCCCTGTTTTATGCTCTCTGCTCTACCTCATTCCTGGCTGTTTGTCTCATTATTAATAATTATAAAACTATTCCATTCTTTGGGACCCTCCGTCTGCAACATCCAGCCGCTGGTTAGCAGCCTGGCACCTTATGCACCCCATCGCCAGCCTTTATATAATTAGCGAAAAAGATCTAAAAAGATGAGAAAAACCTCACTGTATAGAATTTACAGTTTATGGCGCCCTTTTAAATATTTTTCAACATCTTGTTTCCTTGCAAATCCCAGCAACTCCAGCAGAAGGGAAGTCAGAGCATATGACTATATAGACTTGTTGGTTTGTTTTTTTTTAAAATAAGGTATCTAGGGCATGAAAAAGCTCTTTCTCTTCTCACAAATGTGTTTCTGTTTTTGAAGAGCTTTAAAACAGTTCCTTAGAAAGAGCACATTTTATGTCACATCAAATCCAGTAGCTAGGTGGCAGCTTTTATTAACAAGTGCAAAAACCCAAGAACAGGTTTTACTGAAACCTAAATGTCTATGAAATACACATATTAGAGGTGTGTTTTGGTAACATTGGTAGGATAAAGAGTTTTACGAAAACAATTTTAAGATTTTAAGATAAAAGTGGCCCTCGGGGAGTGTTGCTTCTTCCTGCGGGAGAAACACAAAGCTCTTTAGTATCAAGACTTTCTCCTCCCCCTTTGCTAGGGGATCATAATCTGTTATCCTTGGCTCTTCAGATGAGCTTGATTCACAGGTGAGACATTCTCTGTCCAGTGGAACTACAGGTTGACCAGATTCTGCTCCAAGAACACTGCTCTGTTCTTCTATGTGTTGAATTCTAAATACTCCCAAATTAACTCATTCGAATATTTCCATGGGGTCAAGGTTCACATTCATCACCCAGGGCTTTAAAATTTCAGCTTGAGCTAATTTCAGCTAACACTTCCCCTCCTTTCTTTCCCCCTATAAATGTCTTCAAAAACAGCTCCCCAAACAGTCTTCAGCTTGACGATGACCACCATTTCCTCTGAACTTTAAAAATGGAATTTTTCTGACTTTGGAAGGTGATTTCCAACTAAATGGAGAAGAAATAGGAAAGTGCAAATGATGGAACTTTTCTTGCCTCTGAGACAGTTTTGGTTTTGCTTTCTGGACGTGGAGGGTTGTTCAAATGTGTGTTTATCAAATGACAGTTCATGACATCAGCAACAATCCACTCCACAATGTGAGACTCCGTGGTACCCCTGTCATTGTTGTCAGTTCCTGCTCATGGTGACCTTGGGTACAACAGAACCATTGACCTGCCCTGCACCATCTCGTTGATAAGCTTGATGATATGGTGTTGGATCTTTGGTACTTTGTTGAGGCTATTGTGTCCCTCCATCTCCTTGAAGGTTTTCCTCATTGCTGCTGTCAATCCACTTAACCAAATGTGATACAATTCTCTAGAGACTTGTCTTTCCTGATGACAGGCCCAAAGCAGGAGAGCTCAAGTCCCATCATCTGAGCTTCTAAGGAGCTTTGTCCTCCTAGGAAACCACGGATTCGGGCAAGATGGGAAAGCGAAGCGGAGACAGCAAGTGGTGAGCAGGTGGCTTGCTTACAAAGTCAAGAGCTGGTGTAGAAGGACGGGGCAAAGATCAAATCTGCTCTTCATAGGGTCATAATGAGTCATAGTCAAACTAAACAGCACCTAACAACAACAACAACAATAGCATGTGTGTTAAAGTTGACCAGTGAATAAGGAATATCAAAGAAGAATTGATGTCTTTGAATTGTGTTGACAGTGATATTGAATATACTATGGACCACCAAAAAAATAAACAAATCGATCTTGGAGGAAGTGTAACGAAGGTGCTCCTTAGAGTCAAGGACAGTGAAACCTCTTGTTACATACTTTAGGCATGTTTTCAGAGAGTCCTTGGGGGAAAAGGATATTATGCTTGAAAAAGCAGAGAAGAAGCCGAAGAGAGAATGATCTTCAGTGAGATAAACCAACCTAGTGACTGTAACAATGGACTTGAGCATGGTGGAAACAAAAGACTTATTTCAAGGAAATGACTTACAAAATTGTGGAGGCTGGCATGTCTCAAGTTCACAGGACAGATCTCTGGCTGGAAGCTTCTCTTGACAGGTGATTGCAATGGCTGGCAGACTCCAAACTTCAGGCCACAGGCTGAAGGCTTCTCCAGAGCCAGAGGTTAGAGGATATCTCCAATGCCGGAAAAGAATATGGAGACAGGACACATCCTTCCCAGTTTTGAACCATGTGGAGTTTCCTTGCTCTGTTCTGATGACTGCCTCCTGGTCCAAGTATAGATTTCACATAAACACAGTCAAGTGTTTAATAATTCAAAAGAATATTATTTCATAACAAATGAACATTAAATCAAAAGTTCTAGGTCCACTAGGTTTTACTGGAACACACTCGTTTGTGTTTATTTACGCACTGCACGAAAACAGCAGAATGAGCAGGAGCAAGGCAGATCCTAACGGCCCACAAAGCCCAAGTCATCTGCTTTACCTCACGGTTATTTCTTTACGCAAAACGCTTGCCAACTTCCTGGCCTAGAGGACATTGTTGCTGTTGCCGTTATATGCTGTTGAGCTGCCTGCAACTCATAGTGGTGTTATGTAAGAGCTCTGAAGCCTTCCCTGTCCTAAGCCAGTCTCACTGCCTCCAACACACCTACTCCCATTGTCCCAGTCACTGTATCAGTCTTTCTCATCCGGGGTCTTTCTCTCCTGTGCTGTCCCTTCCACCCTTCCAAGAATGATGTCCTTCGAAAAGGATCAGTCCCTCCTGGCCACATGCCCGAAGAATGTGAGACAGAGCTTCAAAATCTTCACCTCCAAAGAGAAACTTGGTTTCTCCAAGAAAGATCTATTTGTTTTCTTGCTGGTCCATGTTATGTCCAATACTCTTCTCCAGCACCACACGTCAAAGACATCAATTCTTCTTAGTCATCCTTAGTCATTACCCAGCTCTCTGATGCACAGCAAGTAACTGCAAAGACACCTTAGTCTCTGGACTGACATTGTTGACAGTACTCTGGAAAGGTCCCTGACAGCAGATTTCCCAATGCAATTCACCTTTTGATTTCCTGACTACTGAGAGTGCCAAGAGTGTTGATTGTGGAGCCAAGGAAGCTAATTGTTAACAACCTCAATCTCCTCTCCATCCTTCATGGTGCTGCCAATTGGCCCAATAGTGAGAATCTTTGCCATATTGATGTTGAGCTTCAATCCATATTGCAGATTACAGTCCTTGACCTTCTGCAGCAAGCGCTTCAGGTTGGCCTCAGTTTCACAAGCAAAGTTTTGTCACCTGCATAATGCAGGTTGTTGATGAGTCTTCCTCCAGTCCTGATGGCAGGACATTAAAATGTGGCCAACATGAGTTTTGACAATGTGAAACTGAAAAGTGCTTCAGAAAATTTGGACTCAGAATAAATTGAAGGGATAAACTAACCAAATAACATGGGATTAAAAAAAAATCTATGTCTAAGTAAATTGCAAAGCATATGCCTATCTTTCAAAAAGAATACAATGCAGCGTCTAAGAAACAAAGCATTGTTCGTCTAGTTTAAGACACAGCTCTTTTTGCTTCTGGGCACGCTGGTGCATGCATCTTAGACTTCATGAAACATGGTAGCATAAAAGCATAAAGTAAACGATGAAACATGGTAGCATAAAAGCATAAAGTAAACGATACTCTAGAAAAGTTTTTGAAACAATCCTGATGACGGACGAGCAGGCTTTCTGGCAGCTCCTTCCTGCACTGTTTCATCCCTGGAAGCTAGCTGCCAGAACAGACATGGCTCTGAGCATCCGTGAGATCAGGAGTGAGGAGTGTCCTTCCAGCGCCTTCTCTGGATGCCATTCAGCCTGAAGGCGTTTCGGGAGCTCAAGCTGCTTCAGGAAGAGCCATGGAGGAGCTTGCTTCTCCTGGTCCTGCTGAGAGACGCTCGTCTCTGCCAGGAAGCAGGGCTGCCAGCCAGGTCTTGCCCAGCGTTGATTTACGTGCTGTGACCTCTGTTGTCAGCCTTTCTGGAAGTGACGCACACTTCAAAGAACCCAACCACCACTTTCTGGTAAAATCAAGGGAATTAAATGTTCTAGGATGGAATAGGCTGGGCCTGTCTTCATAAATCCTCATCAACTCAGGCAATGGGACAGTAGGCCAGACGAGCCGGCAGTGAGTTCTAGGCCACTGTCCTTACTGGGGGGTGGGGGTGGGCATTCATAAATGACAGCTTGCTTTCTACGGGGACTCCCTCCTCTGAGTGGATCTCCATGACAAACATACTTGCAGCAGTTGCCTAGAAAATATATCCATTACCTTGCAAAGTATAAAGAACAAGAATGACCCCGTTAGCGGGCCACAGAGGCCTCTGTGAGTGGTGGTGGAGTGATGTGGAATCAGATATCAGTGTTGGTTGTATGATGAGATGGATACAACCAAGGCCATAAACTGTACACGCAAAAAAGGGTATAGAAGGAGACACAAAGGTGTGATGGTTAAATGGCACTGCTAACTGGAAGGTTGGTGGCACCCAGTTTCCATGGGGAGGGAAACCCCAACTTAGTGATCACCTGCCCTGAAGTTCACAGCTAAGGCAGCCCCGGGGGGCAGGTCTGTCCCATCACACGGTATTGCTGGAAGTGAGAAACCACTCAATGGCACTTAGTAACAAAACAATACTACTTAAACCCAAAACTGAACTGGCAAGTTGCTTGTTACATCATTTACCCAGAAAAACAATTCAATGGAGTAAAATTGATCTGGAGAAAACAAAACAGAATATCTGACCCAAAGCCCACCCTGGATATAGTCCACGTGTGACCACCTGACTGGCTCACCAGACACCCTAATATGTGAGTAGAAAGGGACACAGAGAGGAAGGAGGAAAGCAGAGGGTAACGGAGGATGAAGCTGGGGTGAAGACCGCGGGGCCCCTGAGAAACCTCGCAAGTCCTTATAAGACAAAGGCAACAACTTTAGCTCAGCATTTTCCACCCTCAAGTTCTAAAAATATCACACCCTCTTCTATTAAGTGAGCTCATCTCCATGGGTGCCTATTCCTTTATGCCACCTAGACTCCAGATGGTATAAAGTGAGTCTTGAAAAACCAAAGTTAGACTGACTTCCTAAAGGGTATGCAAATCCAATAGTATAGATCCAACTACTACAACTCCTTGAGCATCTATAACACCATGTTATTGTTGTTGTTATTGTTGTTGATTGCCTTGAGTCAAGCACGACTCATAGCGACCCTATGAAGGAAAGGCCTGAAGCCGCTCTTACAACTATCAACATTTATCAAAGTTCATAGAGCTTCCGGAGGCATGTTGTTTAGGAAGTAGATGTCACTCCTGCTTCCAACTATAACGCAACTATAGTCCTCCTTCACCCTCTGCTTTCTTCCTACCTCTCTGTATCTTTCTACTTACTCATGTTAGGATGTGTGGTGAGCCAGTCAGGTGGTCACACGTGGACTGTAATACAACTATAATGTTCTCATGAAATATTTCTTTTTTTTTTAATTGTGGTTGTAACAAAACTTTACAGAGAAGTTGGGATTTTCATTCATTCATGTTGCACATTTTTCTCCCTGGCCCTCGTACGAAATCTTTCAAGGGGAGGATATTGGTTATCTGTGTGTCTGAATGATCAGGGCGAGGCTTCTGGGGGACACTAAGCCTTGTAACATTTTGTCTTCTGGGGCCAACATCCAAAATCTTCTGTTTGCTTTTCTTACTTCTTCGTTTCTTCCTTCCCTTGAGTTATCCTTGTCCAGAGGTGAGTTTTGGGGTCCCTTCTGACATCTTTTGTTCTTTTCTTCCTCTCCTGTGGTTTGAATGACCTTTTGCTTCAGGGGAGCACTGATGTCATAGTAGGTGGCAAGCTGCATGGCTAACCCAAAGGCTGCCTATCTCTGTTGGTTCAAGTCCACTGGTGACTTGGACGTGGAAAGATGGACAGTGGCCTCCTTTCTGTTTACAGCTTCAGAAACTTGATGGAAGCCTTGAGCTAGAACTGACTCAATGTCAGCGAGTCTGAGTTTTAGAGTTTGTGTTCTTCATGTGGTGACCTTGATGACATCCTGTATGTCGTACAGTTTTCAGTCATTAGTGTTTAATGCAGCAAAGCTAATAGTGAAATGATCTCTACATCCAGATAGCATATGTTCAAGCTTTTATTTTGGTTCTCATGGGATTATAAACTTGAAAGAAGACAAAAGATTCAAAGCACAAGTGTGAGAAATATCTGGGCTTCAGGATGTAGTATGGCCATGTGATCCCTTTCCTTAGGAAAACCTTTGAGGTCCTTGGGCAGGTCCCCACGAGGAGACTAGAGGTGCCCAGCATTTGATCTCACCGTCACTTTTCCTTTTCATCATAACAGAGAAGTATCATAGGTCTGACCACTAGACAGCTAGATCAAGGTTTCTGAACTTCAACCCTATAAAATAGCCTGTAAATGAGCCTTGAGGAAAAAGGAATAGCACATGTAGTCCCATGGCTGAAGTTCTTCTGACTAGGAATTCTGCAAACTCTGAGTATGTCTGCCTAATTTTTT